CACTTTGAATCTGTTCTTTTTGCTATCCATGTTGGATCATATCCAGATTCCACCCATGATTTTGCATAGAAGTGGCTCATCATCCCCATGCAAGAAAATTACCTGAACATTAAACCCAGTCCCAATGGTGGTAAGAATTCTAGTTTTCTTTTCTGTTGAAGTTGTAAGTTGATTAATACTATCTTTGATAAGATTTCTTGACTCTAAACTTATGGCTTTCAGGAAGAAACATGTTTACAGCTGGATAAGCCAAAATGGCTGTATACTGTACCATGTAAGTTTGCTCATTGGCCTTGTTTGTGCTTTAATTACTTCTTGAAATATCAAGTTACCTTCCAACTCATCATGAAGAAAACTGGTTTCCAATCAGAAGTTGGATAAAGTGTCATTTGAGGTATCTATTTTGCACAAACTATATTCTATATCATGCTCTCTTGTAGAGTGGTTTGCATGACCTGTGCACTATTCWTGCTTATGATGAGTTTTGAGGATTAATTGTTACTTTTAGATGTTGTCAATAGTATGCTTGTTAAACTTGATGTGCGGAGTCCATATTCTCCTCCCCATTCCCTCGCAGCAGAGATGGCGAGACTATCATTTGAATTTTTATCAATTCCTCTTGAATCTCCTTCTTCTCCATTTTCCTGCCAAAAACTTTGCAATCAGGTCATGTGTGTGATGCTCTGTCAGTGGATCCATGGTCTCGATAYTGTTCACAAACAGAAGAAAAATTCTCTCATCAGGGATGCAACCTCCTTTCTCAGTGTTGCAACTCATGTGAATTTTTGTTTCTTGCTGCCTAAATCAAGAACATGTGTTAAAAGTGAAAATTGCCAAACCAGTGGCTGCAGTTAGAAAAGGAGTGGGGATGGAGGGAAGGAAGACAGGAGATTTCATACCAGCTTCCAGATGGAGAGAAGAACTTGCGATAGAAGTGAAAAAATTGCTGTTGGAACAAGGAAAGAGCAGGGGACAAATTTTGTTGAAGATAAGAAGGAAAAGTGACCATTTTTCTACTAGATTTTTGGCTTTGACAATCCCTGAACTTCGCGAAAAGGCCAATTTCGACCTTAAAGAATTTTGAGGGCCATTTCAGACCTCAAACTAAGTTGAAAAGGCCACCGGTAGCCCAAAAAACACACGGTGTTAGTGACGCCATTCACAATCTGTTAAATAATGAATAAAATAATAAGAAATGCTGATGTGGCACTATTCAACTCAAAAAAATGAAAAATTACAAGTGGGTCCCACTAAATAAAATAAACTATTTAATATATAAATTAATAAATGTTAAAAATATTATATATTTGGGTCCCACTTGAAATTTCCTCTTTTAAGAGAAAAATAATAAGTGGGTCCCACTTGAAATTTTCTCCTTTAAGAGGAAAATAATAGGTGGTCCCACACACACACACCCCTCTCTCTCTCTCTCTCTCTCTCTCTCTCTCTTCTTCTTCTTCTTCTTCTTTGTCTTCCTTGATGCCATGTTCATTGTTGTTTCTTGGTAAGCAGAGGACGTTTGCAGCGGTGGTTCCTCCGCTCGCACTCTGCTTCTTTGGATTTTTGTGTTCCTATGCAATTGGATTTCGTAGACATGGGATTGCATTTCAAGCAAATCAGAGCCTAGACATAGGATTGCACTCACTGAATATGATCGATGCCGTGCTTTCAGAAGGCCAAATAAACGGAATAAAAACATTGGAGAGAGTCCTCCCTACAATAGCCATTTTACACATTCCTTTTCTGCAGCAAACTTTTTCTATAAGAAAGATGTTGACACAAGCCATTCACTTGTTCTCTGCCTTCTTGGACTGCTTACGGCTTTCAACCTTCTTCCTCGCAGCTTCAAATTCTTCTTCGGTGGGTTCTGGATGGGATTCACTGCCATTATATTTTGCCATCAATGATGAGAACATGGAATCAAATTGCTCTTTCCTTTGGCTTCGTCGTTGAGAAATAACTGCAAGCAACTTTGATTCAGACTCTTTGTTTGATTTTTTTCTTTGTTTTAGAGGATCAGTAGGTGGCCCTGTTTCAGCTACTTGCTTTGCCCACTTCTGGTAGGCTTTGGTTGCATTAAGCTCTCCTGCAGCTATAGTCTCATCAAGAATATCCTTGAACTTGTGTGAATCCAATTCAGGATCTGAACAGAGCATCGAACAGAAAAGCATGTTCATATTGCCCTTGTACTTCTGAAAAAGATCCTTCAAATCATTCTTCTCTGAACCAGACCCTTGGTAATTTGTTTCAAACTCTTCAATATTAGCTTCTATAACCTTTTTGTACATTGTTCTGAAATAGTCATGCAGATTTTGAGCCACTTCCCCCTCAAGCTCAGCATCATCAATACAACCAGTTGATCATATGGTGCCTTTTTCTTGTTATCTCTAAGAATGGATATCGCCTTCTCTAGTGTGAGCAGAGGAGCCACCACTGCAAGTGTCCTCTGCTCGCCCAGAAATGACAATGAACATGGCGTCGAGTAAAGAAGAAGCAGAGAGAGAGAGTGGGACCTACCTATTATTTTCAAGTGGAACCCACCTATAGTTTCAAGTGGGACCCACTTATAATTTCAAGTGGTGCCCACCTATTATTTTCAACATTTGTTAATTTATACATCAAATGCTTTTTTTTTTAATTTAGTGAGACCCACTTGTAATTTTTCATTTTTTTTTGAGTTGAATAATGCCACATTAGCATTTCTTATTATTTTATTCATTATTTAATAGATTGTGAATGACGTAACTAACACTGTGTGTTTTTGGGCTAACGATGGCCTTTTCAATTTAGTTTGAGGTCTAAAATGGCCCTCTAAATTCTTTAAGGTCGAAACTGGCCTATTTGCAAAGTTCAAGGGTTGTTAGAGCCAAAAATCCTTTTTCTACTRGGTGAAGCTATACAGTGGTTGAAAGGCTTCATCAATGGAGTACTGTACTCTATGAGGGTGGAAGGATGGAAAGGTGTTTTGGAAATTCCAAGAAGGAAGTATTTGGTGGAGTTGAAGAGGAACCGGAAAAGGGTTGGTTTGTGGCGGTCTCTGAATTTTTTGGACACAACAGTAAACAGCTAATCTGTTTACCCAAAGGAAACCCATCACCCAAATAGAGTAATGACAATCCCTAATGCAACCCATCACCCATTTGCACTGAGTTTCTCCAAACCCAAAGTTCATCATCACCTCTAATAGGAAAGACCAATCAACCAAGTCAAAAGCCTTTTCCAAATCTAATTTACAGACCACCCCACTTCTCCTGGATATCTTAAAATCCTCTAGACTCTCATTTGCTACAAGAATCTGATCTGTTATCTGCCTTCCCTTAACAAAGTCTCCTTGGTTATTTGCTATGATTGCTAGGAGCACCTTCCTAATTCTAAAGGACAACACCTTGGTGATGATCTTATAGAGGCCATTGACTAGACTGATCGGCCTGTAATCTTTCGGATGACTTGCATCACTTTTCTTGGCTATCAGAGCAATGAAGGTAGAGTTTAGCCCAAGGTTAATTACTCCTCTGGTATGGAATTCATCAAACACTGACATTAGGTCATCTTTTAGTATCACCCAACAATCCTGATAGAAAGCCATCATAAAACTGTCTGGGCCCGATGCCTTTGATCTATCTATTGAAAAAACTACCTCTTTAACTTCTTCCAACTCAAATTTCTTTTCCAACCACTCCCTATCTTCTCTCCTCAAAGTTGGCCATTCCAAACCTTCCAGCCACACCCTGTTGTTTAGGGGCCTTCTGAATATATGCCTGAAATGATCTGCAAATGCTCCTACAATTTCTCTTGACCTGTAATTGTTGCCCCTTCAATCTCCAAACTGGAGATAAAAAATTTCTTCCCCTTCTACCATTTGCCAAAGCATGAAAGAACTTAGTATTCCTGTCCCCCTCTTTCAACCATTTGCATCTCGACTTCTGCCTCCAACTTATTTCCTCTTGAGAAATATAGTCCTCTAGTTGTTTGCGCAAATTTCATCTTTGTTCCCTTTCCTCTCCTGCTAGGTTGCCACTTCCTTCTTTGCTATCCAGATCTTCAATTTGTGTAATGACCCTCTGCTTCCTTTCCTCCAGTCTCCCAAACTCTAATAGATTCCATTCCTTGATCCTTGCCTTTAGATATTGAAGTTTTTCGTGAAACCTCATTCCATTCCACTCCACTACTGGATTGCTCTTTGCCCACCAATCTTCTACTTTCTTAATGAACCCCGGAAGCTCTAACCACATATTTTCGAATTTAAATGGAGTGGGACCTGCATTTCTCACCTCCTCCTTACAAAGTATGATAGGCCAATGATCAAAGGCTACCCTTGGGAGTGCTCTAGAGTTCAAATTTCTCCAATGTTCTTCCCAATCATTTGAAAATAGGAATATGTCTAGCTTAGAGCAAATTGGGTTGACTTGGAGATTGGACCATGTATAACACCTTTGTGACAATGGGATTTCCTTCAATTCAAAGGCATCAATAAACTGGTTAAATCTCCTCGTGCTTGTATTGGACCTCTGCCTAGGACTGTTAGTTTCTGCCAAGAATCTAATTACATTGAAATCACCTCCTAAACACCATGGCTCATCCCACAAACCCCTAATGTTAGCCAGTTCTTCCCATAATTTCCTTCTTTCTCTGTAATCATTTGACCCATACACATTGGTGAGCACCCATTCAAACCATCTTCCACTTGCCCAAATTTCAAAGAGATTGAAAATTGTCCTATCAATTCCTCCAGCCCAACAATTACCTCATTCTTCCACATTGTCACAACACCCCTTGCAGATCCCCATGATGGTAAAGCCACCCAACTGACCCCCCTACCTCTCCACACACTCCTTGCCCATTTGATGTCAAAATTTACTCTTTTGGTTTCCTGTAGCAGTACCACATCTGGATCTATTTTCATGATGGCTTCTTTTATCACTGCTCTTTCTTGCACTCCCCAGTCCCCTAACATTCCAGCTAATAATCCTCATTATTCTTTATTGTCCACCCCTTGCACCTATTACCCTCACTTCTTCCCTTTCCTCCTTTCCCCTACAACACCAAACCTTTTTTCTCCCTCCACATCCTTCACCAGTCTTTCAACCTCACTCTTTTTCCTCCTCTTACTTTTGATTTCTTCTCTCTTTTTTTGTATGAATCCTTTCAAATCATTTGGATCTTTCAGTTTACACCCCCAGCTTTTGTACAAATACTGCCACAGAGTCTTCACTTGCCAGCTCTCTTTTGTCTGTCCTTCCCTTTCTCTCCTCTTGACTTATGTCCCCATCTCTACCCTCTTCCTCCTGACTTTTTTCTATCTGAACCTCTTCCACCCCTTCCTTCTAAGAGTCCTTCTCCTCCTCTTCATGAATCGTGTTCTCAGTACCTTCCAGAACTCCAATATTACTCTTTGCTTCCTCTTCTCTTCTATCTTCCCTCTCCTTACCCTCTCTGACTCTACTTTTATTACTTGCCCCTCCCCCTCCTTCACAGGCAGCAGACTCTGAACCGAGACTGGTATTTGGAACACAGGACACAGAGCAAGCATTAGTAGAAAAAGCTGAAAGGACACAGATACCTGGGTTATGCTGGGAAAGAGACAGGAAATTGGAATTGGAGGCAGGAGAATCCGGATCCTGAAAAGGTGTGACAGTGTCAACTAGCTCCTTGGCTTGGGTCTGCAGGGATTGCCTTCCTGTCTCCTTTGTTATACAGTAGTTTCTTCCCATACCCGGCTGTTTGTCCCTCCATAATAAAACTCTGTTTTCCTTCTGGTAGGTCGCAGATACGTCCTTACAAATCTCCTGTCCATTAGTGGGTTTTGGAAATGGAGCTTCTAAGATAATATCAGATTTTCCACCCCCATCAATACGGATGTGCTCTGCCATGTTATCTTCCTCCCTGTGTAGAAGCCTCTCTGAAAGAAAGCCTTCTGCAACTTCTTCTGTGAATAAGTCGCCGAGATTTAAAGTTGCCGCCAAAGCTTCCTCTGGCCACTTATCTATCTCGACATTTCCGATGCTAGTTTGATCGTCAGAATCTTCTTCCAGGACTGGGTTTTCCAACTGACAGTTTACCCAGCCCTCATCGACACCCTCCTCCTCACCGTAGTCTCTTACGTACCTGGGGTTTGGACTGTCCTGCACTGTGTGATCTCCCCCAGATGCTTCAGGTAATGGGTCTAGGGACCCATTGCAACAGGCCGTCGTTTCGAACATCTCGTCTAGATGAGACTGTAGCAGCACCAACGATCCTCTTCGAGGAAGAAGATAGACGCTTGCTATCGTCTATAATCCCCACCGAGATCATGTGCTCACTTAAACACTCACTTGGCCTGAGGTTCAGCCTTTTGGTTGGGCCATCCAGGCCTCCAACTGGTTCAGATAACCCGGCCCGCACCACACCCTTAACTGGCCCTCCCCCCTTCTTGACCACGTCAGCGAAGGAAGCCTGGGCCCCAAAAATTTCATTAATTTCAAAATTTTTTAAATTTCTTTCTTTAAATGGCTTGAGTGCCTGTTGATCTCCAATGGTCGACTTTTCAGTCTCACCAACGCCTGCTTGCCACATGTGAACCAGCCCGCCACATCACCTTCATCTTCTACCTTGAGACTCTGCCCCCAGAGTTCCACCTCCACCTCTGAAACCAGCCACACCTTGTACAATACTTCGTCAACGAGCATTTCGATTACTCTTGGGATCGATCCCGGCTCCACCCCGTTGATTTTAATCTCCGCAGCTCGATAATCCTGCATTTTGATGTCCTCCATCACCCCACCCAACATCTTAGCTATGCTGTCCAAACATGGTTTGTTCCAGAGATGGAAGGGAAGCCCAAACAATTTTAGTTTGAAACTTCCACCGGCATTTACCATCTCATTACACAGCTGTTTCCAGTTTTGTACATATACCAATCCTTCTTCCCATTCAAACACTGTGAATCCTCTGTTTACCCTGTTATCTATTTTGAGAACTGCCTTCCGGTTTGAAAATGGCTTCAAGGTTTTAGGTTGTTTACCACCGAAGTCAGTAACTTTCTCCAGTCCTGAATATCCTTGTTAGTTGTAATCACCATTCTCTTCTCCCAATCCTCTTGCTTAGCCTCGCACCAGACTTTGAGTCCTCTGTTCGAGCTTGTGATTACCTTCCCGCTGCACCAAGGTCTCTGCTTCGAAACTTGGCTCGAGGACCTGAGAAGACTATCGGCTTTGCTCTGTTCCTGTTCGTGCTCCCTTTGCATGTGATTGTTAAACGCAACAAGATATTTCTGTAGCTCATTCGCGAACGTTAACCAGCCTTGTGTATGCTTCCCTGCCGGTAAGCAGACCATTTGCTTCCGATCACCAAAAAACTCTGTGATGGTAATGTACCACCCTTTCCCATTGCGTCTTAGCTCAACTTCATATTTCTTTCCTTCCATTTTCAAAACATTTCTCCACCCTATGGATTTAAATGACCGAAGAACTCCATCAACAGATCCCTTCAACCAGAGAACTGCTTCCTCGAGTAGATGTATTGTCGCCCTCCTACCTTCTCTCACCTTTAAGATATTTTTGCCTCTGGTCTTTCTGCATTCGAGTAGAAGCTTCTTTGCTTCGATGTCCAGTTCAGACTTCCATCTGTTCACCGTCTGAAATTCCTTATCGCTCCCTCTTCCCATCTTCTCAAACTCCTAATAAAATGATAGGTGGTCACCACCTAAATGCTAATTTCTGAAGCTATTATCCGTCAACATTGATGATTTATGGTTACCTAAGCACTTCAGTTTACAGGTTTTGATCATTTTACAGGGTCATAATCCCATTTCTTGGGGAGAGTTAAGTCATTTTATCTCTCCCTCGAGTTTCTTTTGTATCTTCTGTTTTATTAATGAAAAGTTTCTGTTATTGATAAAAAAAACTCCCACTTTAGAACATTGAAGATTTGCATTTGAAAGATGTACAAAATGTCTATAGTCGTGATGACAAAGGAGGGCTTATATGATCTAAAGCATAAATTATCATGCTGAAGGACATTCATAGTGATATGGAATCCAAGAACTAGTGAAATTGAGCCTGTTTTGTATTTATTCCAGGAGTCCTGTCCTGCTATGTTTCCAAAAATATATATTAGTTAACAAACCAGTAAACAAGTTTATGCAACTCTTCAAAACTAGCTATGCAAGTTAGGTACCCAATTGGAAAAAAAAATGACACAGCATTGGGCCCCTGAGGTTTTGCCTATTCAAGTTTTAATAAGTGCTCAAACACAAAGGATAATAGGCTGTCCTGCCTCATCATTCTCAGCAAAAACTCAGAATCTTGGTGCATTCACTAAAAGACTTCCAAGTACCTTAATATTTATCACCACACCCCCACCAACTCTCCATGTAAACTTAATAAACCTTGTCTGTTCTGGGATTATTAGTAGGACCTCAGTTTGCCTAAACAGTTTAGCTAAGTGACAGGATTTCTGTTATTTCCATCAAGGATGTATCCGGAAAACTTATTTTTTGCTTGTATGTTTCTACAGATCCAAAGAAGTAGTTAAGAGTTGGCTGTCAAAGCAGTCTCTGACTCCTGGGACAGTCCAAGAGCTATCAAGTATAGGAGCATCAATCAAATAACTGGGTTGAAGGAGACTGCTCTTAATGTTCAATGTATGATTTTTGGAAACATGGGGAGTGCTTCTGGAACAGGTGTTATTTTCATTAGGAACCCAAGCACTGGGGAAAATAAGCTCTATGGAGAGTTTCTTGTCAATGCTCAGGTGCACACATCCTACTTCTATCTTAATTTTGTTATATGCATGGAGAATCTGTTCTTATTAGATTATTTTGTTGAGTAATTTAATAGTTAACTTCATAGGTAATTATGACATAATTACACGACCTGTACACCATGAAAAAATGCATTCCTGAAGCTTACAAGGAACTTGTGGAAAACTGTGAAATTCTGGAGAGGCATTACAAAGATATGATGGTAAAGTTTCCCAGTACAAGAAGACATTTCTTCACTGGTTTTGCAACTTCTTGTTTTTAATCTCTTCATTGTGTTCTAAATCACATGTTTTCTCTTGGTAGAGAACATGCCAACTAGTGTTTGAGAAAGGGGGTTTAACTTGGTGTGTGGCCAAGATTTTTCTTAGAGCAGGAAACTGTAAACAAATCCTGCAGGGTTTTAATTACACTAATCAAGTTAAACCACAAGTCATTAATGGACTTGAGACCTAGGAAGCTTTTAGGAAAGGAGTAAATTGATTCTAATGATTAGTTTTTCTCCTTTCTTTTATTCGAGCAATAATCAGGCTAATGGTCAGATGTTAGGACTTCTACTGAAGTAGTTGAATGCTTGTATACTTAGCTCTATAACAGAACCGTGCAGATATTATTAACTTGACAAGCTGCAATGTCATGATTGTTCACTTGTCAGGATAAGTAGAAACTTGCAACAGACTATGATATTATACACATTACAAATGTCTTATAACACCTCTCAGAAGTAACTTACATGTAGACACAGACACATATATAGAATCTATGCAGTTCACTTGGTTAACGTTTACCTTTTAGTTGATGTATATACCCTTTTTATCATATCATACATGACAAAATTTGAAATGGTCTTTGGAATTGGTGATCTTGATGCTAATAAACCGTCTAAAAGAGTCACCATGAGATCTACTTTGTTGGATGCTGGATCTAAATCCTTAAACATCTATTAAGGGAAATCTTGATATGCTGCAGATTTACAAGGGTTTTGAAGTAGTGTCAGTTTAAGTGACCTTGAATCTTATTTGTTTTTACCTTCATTCCTATTAGAAACCTTGATGTGAAATAGCATGTGAGACACATATAGCTTCCACATCAGCCAAGCCTCCAAATGTATTGTAAAATGTAAACTTGACACGTCTATGAAGAAACTGCAAAACATAATAAACCAATTTTATACTTGAGGCTTGAGATGAAATTCTTTTTTAATGTTTTTCACAAATTGGATGTAAGGTTCATCTTCAAATTATGAAATTTGTATTGTCCCATACTTTGAAAAAGTCAAGTATGACTTACAAAAGCCATGTGATTCTACAATGCCAGGATATTTTGATTAGGTTTTCTTTTTGATTTTTCTCTTCTATAAGATTTGCTAAAAAAGGAAAAAAAAAATAAATGATGTTTGCACATAGAGGATATGATGATTACTATTACTTGTTATTAAGGTTCAAAGTATCGGAAACGCAAGGTGTATTAGAAAGACAATTTTAAGAGACGTATTGGGATACAGATGAAAAATCAAGATACGCATTGTGAATAAACCCTAGTTGATTCTAGGTTAAAGCAGAGAAGAAGGAAGAAGAAAGAAAAGAGAAAGAAGGAGAAGAATGTTCGGCCAAACTAGAAGAGAGAAAAGTGAAAAATCCCTCTCACCTAGCCGACCCACTTGACTTTTATTCATAAAACTTAAGTTACAAGAAAGACAATGTTGTCCCTCATAGAAGATTGGACACATAACTTAAACTCAGATACAATAGACATTTCACTTTCAATAAGATACACCATAATGACCAAAATACCCCTGACTCGAGCATTCTAACACTCCCCCTCAAGCTGGAGAGTATATATCATATAGTCCCAGCTTGTTACAAATGTAATCTATTCTTCCCCGAGACAATCCTTTTGTGAAGAGATCTGCCCATTGATTTCCTAAGCTCACATGAGATGTAGTTATTACCCCACTTATCACTTTCTCTCTCACAAAGTGACAATCCACCTCAATATGTTTAGTTCTTTTATGGAAGACAGGATTGGATGAAATGTGAACAACAACTTGATTATCACAGTATAGTTTCATGGGGTCGTCAATTGAGAAACCCATCTCTTGTAGTAGGTTCTTCAGCCATACTAGTTCACATGTGGTATGGGCCATAGCCCTGTATTCTGCTTCCGCACTACTTCTTGCCACYACTRTTTGCTTMTTGCTCTTCCATGTTACAAGATTGCCACCCAGGAAGGTACAATACCCTGTGGTTGACCTCCTGTCTAATATAGAACCAGCCCAATCAGCATCTGTGTATCCTACTATCTCAAGAGTTCCTCCCTTTTGGTATAACAAACCACGACCTGTAGCACCCTTTAGGTACCTAACAATTCTCAAAACAGCTTCCCAGTGAGGAACCCGGGGATGTTGCATAAACTGACTCACCACTCACAGCAAATGATATATCTGGTCGGGTAATGGTCAGATAGTTCAACTTTCCCACCAACCTTCTATATCTTCCAAGATCATCAAACTCTTCACCTGCATCCACACTTAGCTTGGCATTGAGTTCCATAGGAGTCTCTGCTGGTTTAGCACCTAACAACCCTGTTTCTTCAAGTAGACCAAGAACATATTTCCTTTGACATAGATTGATCCCCTGTTTTGACCTCGCAACTTCTATTCCTAAGAAGTACTTTAGCTTCCCCAGATCTTTCGTATTGAAGTGATCCTGTAAGAATTTTTTTAGTCTGTCAATTCCATTG